AGATCAGGCTCTGAAAGCTGCCTGGTTTGGAAGGAAAAGAGGCAGGATCTGAATCGACCTTTATTGGCTTGAGAACTCATTTCCCAACCCTTGCAGATTAAGAGGCATGGCAATTTCAATATTACTGAATCTTTGAAATTTACCTAATAATGCTTTGTAACTTTAGGCAACCAGGAAAAGGAGAGCATTTTCATGTAAATGCTATTGTTCATGGATAAAACAGTCTCTGCCCTCATGGAGCTTGTATCTCCATGGCATCTCAGGGTTGATGTGGTTTTGCCTCCCTTTGCAGCTGAAGAGACTGAGGACTCATAGTTAGCAAGCAGTGCAAAGATCACATGGCTATCAGTTGACAGCACCAGTCTAGAGCCTGAGCCAAAACCATGGCCTAGGAAGTGCTAATAACCCTGTGTCATGTTACAGACTCTGGGCAGAGGCTGTAGAGAAGGGTGCTCCTGGCTCTGGAGTTGGCTCACTTGAGTTTGAAACCCACCTGTGTTACTTTCTAGCTGTGTGTGCTTGCAGAGGTGCCCCCCTCCACCCCAGCTGTTCCGGAAGTCATAATCCCTGCCTCCCTGGGCTTGTTTATAGGCAAGAGAGCCCTTAGCTTCTTCTTCCAGCATAGTTCCTGGCACACAGGTGCACAGGTAGAGGTGCACTTGTAGTGACCACTGACTGTCCCCTGATTTGATTACAGCACCAGCCCTGGCAGGCACCTTTGTGAGCAAGGCTCAGTCCTGTCCTCTGATTCCTATTGTGGCAGGTATACCAGAAGGCTAACCCTTTGGGGACAGACTGTGGCATAGGCAGCAGATGCTTCAAGATGTCTCTGAGGTCTCTCGCTAGAGACTCACAGTGCTGCTGCCCAGCATTTTTCCACTCCCGTCTCCAGCCACTCACAGAGCTTCTTCACATCATCCCTCTCCCCAGCCAAGGCCCCGAGAGACAGGTGTGGCAACATCTTGTTTATCTGCCATCCATCCCTCATGCAGTGCCAGAGGAGCAGAGTTCAGTCAAGCCAGGCCGCCCTGGGAAGATAGTGGAAGGAACATGAGACTTCCCAGGTCCCCTGGAAGACAACAGGCAGGATGCATCTGACAGGCAGGGTTCAAAACCAGGCAGGAAGGGAGCATCTGGCTTCAAATAGAAAACCTTGAGATCCTTACCCCTAAGCCCCCCAAAGGGTATGTAAATCCAGATCAAAGTCTACACTGTCTACACAGGGGAATGAATGGAGAGGCTGCTTATGCTGAAGGAGATGACCCAGGCAGAACAGAAAAGGGAGTGCAGAGATGTGGACGCTTTACACATGGTGGATCTGGGAGGGATCACTCAACCACCTGCGGCTTTTTCTTTCATTCCTTCCTCCCTTCCCTCCCCCGCTCCATGTGTCTCTCTCCCTTCTCACTCTGCCGCACCCCTCTCCTCTCCAGTCCTTCAAGAACTACGCTGTCGGCTTGTGTTCCAGTTTCACCCTGAGCCTCCAGAGGCACCTCACCATCCCAGAAACATGGACACAGCCCACCCTGTCCCAAGACTCTGGGCCCTTGGGCTTCCCATGACAGCCAGTGGGGCCCAAGTGGTGAGCTGGGACACTTTGGCTTTCACACCTTGTGGAAGGCATGGCTGGGGGGCTCAGGAGAGGTAGGAAGCGAGCCCACTGTGCTGGCAGAGCAGGGGTCTTCGTGGCAGATCTCAGCCTCTGCAGCAGCACACACATCGGGCTCCTGGCTGCCTCTCTGTGCCCCCGCCAGGCTCCCCTTTGCGTCCAAGGTGGAGACAGAAGATCATCATCTGCATCTGCAACTCTCCCTCACCTCTTGCTTTTGCCCTTTAGCCTCTGTCCTCCGTCTGTCCTCCATCACCACCGTATCTCCCTCTCTCCCTTCAGCTTCTGTCTTGTCTGCTCTGCTCCCTGTCCTTCCACTCCGTGGCCTCCTCCTCTTCCTCCCACATCTATGTCCTTTCTCTGCTTTCCCCACCTTGCCTACTTCCTTTTCCTCATCTGCCTTGATTGAGTTCAGCGCCATTTGCCAAACATTTATTCCATGCCAGGCTTGGTGCTAATTCAGGAGAGGCAGGAAGACAGTCATCCAGACTCTGCCGTCTGAGTTTAGAGCCTGTGAGTCTCCCTCTGCTCCTTCTCATGCCCACCTTTTCCTGTGTCCTTGCTCATCCTCTACTGCCTCCTCCCCCTCTTCTTGTGACACCTCTTCCTTTTTTTTCCTTGTGCCCTGTGCTGGCATCTACAGCCTGCAGTGATGGTGGGAGCTGGGCACACAAAATGGCAGAGGTCCCGGGTGATTGGGGTGTGGGTGCCCCTCACTCTGCCATCCCCCGGTGCCAGGCAAGGGGTGAGACACAGCACCCAAAACCCCTCTCTCATGCCCGCCTCCTTTCAGGGCTAAGACAGGACCGAAATGACTTTTAGCTCAGCAGCAGCCCACTGGCCCAGCAGCCCTGAGCTGTTTATTGAAAAGAAAAAATAAATAAGGGCGTGCGATCGCCACCTTGCCATATATTTGGGGAGCGATTCTAAAGCGATGATGTTGACACACATGCCTTTGGGTAATTATAAGAGATACCTGCAGCTCCTCTCCCAGCTCATGTCCCGCTGTGATGGCAACAGAAAGTGACAGGCAAGAAATGGGGGAGAGGCAGATGCGCCAGGCAAACTGTGAGGCTTTTGTTTTAGCACGTGGGGCCACTGATGGTAAGATGCAAGGTCGCCTGGCTGGTCATCCTGTTTGTCCTTCTATGAGCTTGTCTCCTTGTGTCCACCGATGGGGGCAGCGCTGGAGTCAGAGATTGGAATAATTACTATTAATCGTTAATGATTGAAGACTGGTAGCTGTCCGTGATTGGTTATGAGTTATCCCTCCTAGCTATTCACTGTTACTGAGTGTTCGGTACCAGGAACAATAGTATCAAGGGCTTTCACTGTTACTGAGTGTTCGGTACCAGGAACAATAGTATCAAGGGCTTTCCCCCATTCTCCTCCCTGCCTGTAAGGTTGGTGCTGTGAGTCGGGGGCTGGAGGTGGACGAGTTGCTCCCAGGACAGGAACAGCAAATGCAAACTTGAGAGGCAGTAAAGACTCATCCTGTCCCGGGAGCAGTGCAGCAGGCAGAGTAAGGGGTGGAGGGTTAAGGTGGGAGGGGAGCCGGGGAGCCTGACCACTCAGGAGGACGGCAAGGATGGCAAGTAGGTGGCTCGCCTGCATTGGCACCTTGGAATTGCAGGTCTATGCCATGTCCAGTCTGTGGCATCAACCCTCCTCCACCCAAGTGACACAGGAAACGTGCACCCTCATGAAATCCCTTAGCGGGACTCTGGCCCCTGTTGACCTCCCACAGGTGCTTAGCTGGGGACTCCTGCCAGCCCTGGCAGAGAGAGGCTGTTGGGGGGCTAAAACTCTGACCTCAGGAAGCTCTGAAAGGCAGGGTCTAGGTGCCTGTCTTAGTCTTTCAGGCTGCTGTAACAAAAAATCCTGTGGGCTCGGTGGGTTATAGACTAAAGAAACATTTCTCACAGTTCTGGGGGTTGGGGAATCTACGACCAAGGTACATTGATGGCTGTCTTCTCATGTGAAGGAAGGGACAAGATAACTCTTTGGCCTCTTTTATAAGAGCACCAGTTACCTCAGGAGCTTCCACCTTCATGACCATCTCATTGCCCTAAGGCCCTGCCCCCCAGTGTGGTCACTTTGAGGGGGAGGTCTCAACCTAAGAACTTGGGGTGGGCATGCAGATATTCAGCCCACTGCAGTCCGTACCTCTTTCCCTGGAAAGACCCTAACCCCTAGCCAATCTGCCCTCCTGTCCCCTCTGGGCCATCCCCTCCAGGGCCTTTGGTCTGACTTCCTTCTCAGATTCTACAGCCCACTGGGCCCTGGCTGCCGCACACAATGAGGGGCGCAGGTGGTGACACCTAGCTGGGAGAGCAAGATGTTCTCGTTGGTTTGTACCAGAATCCCAGCCACCCTTGGTGTGAAGAAGGCTGACTCCTCCAGTTGTCCCCTTGTGATAGTCAGAGCCCCATAGCTGCCAGAGCCGTGGGCCTAATCCTTGGCAGCCTGCGTGCGGCTCTCCATCTCTCCGCGGGCCTGCGTCCACGGCTTTGTCTGCAGTGCCAGAATCTGACATTTGGCACGCCTTTCTGCCTTTTTTTTTTTTTTTTTAATAAATTATGACTTTGCTGGTGGATAGGAAAGGGGTAGTTTATCTTCAAGGGAGGACATGTAGATTTTATTTGTTAAAGGAAAGACTGATGGACTCTAGTCTCTCTGCTTTCAAGGATGCTCTTTATTTTCCAGTCTATAATTTCACCCCACTGTGAGGCTTCTACTTTCCAGAGACAACGTGGTTTTGGCTCAGCTGCTGTGAACTCCCTCTGCACAAAAGCCAGGGCTGGTACAGTCCCAGAATAGAGGCCGTCTGTCCTCATGTGTATAGATTTGGTTTCAAATTAATTTCATGTGACTCTTTTGCTTTTGAGGGGAGCAGTTCCTATGTCTGCCCGATCTCCATGAAACAATGGTAGGTGTCACAGGGAACCCCAGTGCTCAGAAGCCCTGCTGAGTGGGGTTGTCCTCTGGGCCTGGGCTTCAACAAATAAATTACCCCCTGCATGTCCTGCTCCAGTCTTAGACAAGTGAATTACTTACTTCACAGTAGGCTCTGGTATGCTCAGCTCTATCATGTCAGATATGATGCCTCATAAATCTAAGTCATCCACCCTAGCTGCAGCGTTAATCTACTCAAATGTACTTAGCTGGGTTTAATTATAGACAGAAATTGCATTTCAGAAAGCAACAAGAAATCATTTACATGGCTTGAATTTGCACATTAAATCATGCGGTTCATTTGAGAATGCGGTAGGGATGGCATTTCCAAAGGAAAAAAATAATATTACTGCCTGCGCTTAGTGGCTCTCATACCAATTGCACAAATTGTATGAATTGCACAATTTCTACTGTCTGCATCTTTCTTCCTGGACAGGGTGAAGGCAGAGGCCGGAGATGCTGAGAGCAGAACCTGGAATTCTCATGGCAAGGCCTCAAGAGAAGGCTCTGCTTCTCCCTGCTCTACCCGCCAACAGAAGTCCTGTCATTTTGGAGGTGGTGAAGGGTTTGGTGTCCAGAGAAAGCCCATGGAAAGATCAGGAGCTCTGTCCTCTCCTGTGGCCTCACAGAGTCCAAACACGTCCCCGCTGCCCAGGGAGAAGCTGCCCAGTCCGTCAGCGGCACTCTCAGAGTTTGTGGAAGGACTCCGGAGGAAGAGGGCCCAGAGAGGTCAGGGCTCCACGCTGGGCCTGGAGGATTGGCCCACACTCCCCATTTACCAGACCACTGGTGCTTCCACGCTCAGGAGGGGCAGGGCCAGCAGCGACGAGGGAGATCTTTCCTTGAAGTTACAGACGAAGTCGCCCCTGGGGGTGGAGGGGGCCCCTGGCACAACCGCTGGTCTCTTGCGATCCACCAGCCTGAAGTGCATCTCCTCGGGAGGTGCTGAGGGCACAAGTCTGCCCCCGGAAAGGCTGAAGACCCGCTTCAGTTCCTGTGAGGCCCTCTTAGAATCAGGGCCCAGTGTAAGGAAAAAAATGAGCTCCCCCACCGCCCTCAGGGACACGCTCTTGTCGCCCACCCTGCGTCCCCGGAGGCGCTGTCTGGAGTCCTCAGTGGACGATGCAGGCTGCCCAGACCTTGGCAAGGAACCACTTGTCTTCCAGAACCGCCAGTTCGCTCACCTGATGGAGGAGCCTCTAGGCAGTGACCCATGCAGCTGGACACTCCCAAGCCTCAGCTATGGACGCAGGGCCAGAGTGGACTTTGATGACTTCCTCCCTGCCATCCGGAAGCCTGAGTCACCTACATCCTTGGCAAGGGCAGCCAAAGATGAGCACAAGGGTTCAAAGCATCCGGGTGTTCACTTTGGGATGGAAGAGGCGGACCGCTCCTTTCTCTCAGGGATCAAGACCATTTTGAAAAGGAGCACACAGCCCAAGGAGGACCCTGCTCACCTCTCTGACTCGTCCTCATCTTCCAGCTCTATTGTGTCCTTTAAAAGTGCCGACAGCATCAAAAGCCGACCGAGACCCCCTCGCCTTGAAGGTGACGGTGGTGAGCAGGTGTCCCCTGAGCACAGAGAGCCAGGCACAGAGAGGAAGGAGGAGGATGTGGAGAGCATCATGAAGAAATACCTGCAGAAGTAGGAACGAGTGCAGGTAAAAGTGACAGGCTGGGATCCTCCTTAGGGACCAGAGAGTCCTCCCGGGTCCAGGAGTCTTGCAGAGAATAGATGCTGCTCTTCTGCCTTTAGTCCCTTGACTGCTTGCTCTGGGGTTTTTGGAGATTTGGGCGGAAGTTATATATTGTTGGATGCAGAGCTTCTTTGAAGGGGTCGCCTACTTCTCTATACTTTAAAATACAGATGCATGGGAAAGCAAGAGGGTCCCGGGGGTGATGCTAGAGGAAGTGTCAGGCTTCTAAACTTCCTCCAGCTCAGTCTCGCTATCCTACATCCTTTCCACCTGGGGGTGGGTGGGCTGTGAGGCCTCTGTCACACAGTGGTGAGACATCACGGAGCTATCACAGATCCTCAAAAGGCCAGGTTGGAAGGGGCTGTATTACAGTGGAGTCCACTTTTGCATCACATAAAGAGAGAAACTGAGCCCCAAGGTTGGGGGTGGGAGTCACATGCAAAGGTCACAGAGCCCCACTGTGGAAGAAGTCCCGCTTCTCTCTGCCTGGCTTCTGTACCAGGGCAGGCCCTAATCTTGGTTCTTCTTTGGGATAAACATAGGAAGAGGGATCCCTTGCTACTAAAGGCTTATTTTATTGAATGTATATATCAGCCAGTCATTTAAGACTCATGATATCTTCCAGAGAGGAGGTCAGCATTATTCATTCCCATCTTACAGGCTGACAAACTGAGGATCAGAGAGGTTAAATCACTTATGCAAAATTGCCCAGAGAAAGCTCAGAATTCTCCCTTTTATTCACAGTACTTTTCCTTGGGTATATAGTCCAGGTATCTTTACAAGTGACGTCAGAGCTGCCCAATAGCCCACAGTACACTTAATACCTCCCAGTTCTGCATCTCAGAACCCAGGGTTCAGGTGGTCAGGGAGTGGCATACACACTGCCACAACCCCCAGACCTCCTTGATCAGAGTGAACTGCATGTCTACTACGGTACACCTGTTTCTTCGACAGGCACCCTTAGCCCATCAAAAAGTCACTGCCCCTTCCGAGGAGACAAGCTGGGACTGCATCAGAGCAAATTAATTTGACTTAACATGGCCTTCTCTCTGCTCTCAATTACCAAGTAAAGATCTGATATTCATTTACATTATTATGCTCTCGGGGACATGGAAAGCAGTTTCAAAGGCCAAGTAAAGGGCACACGGCCGAAAGGGGAACAGTGCTTAGCCGAAGTCATCACAGAACATCTTGTCTCTGCCAGGATTTTTTTAAATCTCAAGGCCTCTTCCTCCTCCCAGTGAGGTTCTTCTTGGAGGCTGCTCTCCATCGTAGCTGGGTACCTGCCTACTGTTGCCTTGGTTTCCCAGCTGCATGGAGAAGCCCTGCTCCCCACACTGCCATGGATGGTGGGCTCTGGAGCCTTCGGGCTGAGTCCTTCTCTGTACCCAGGCCTGTGACCTTGAGCAGGCAGTGCCATTTTGCTAAGCACCTCTGTCCTCCACTGGAAAGTGGGGATAACTGCCATCCACTTGAAGTCTCACTGTGGGCTTAAGGAGAGCATGAGAGAACCCAGCACAAAGCCTGGAACCCAGTAGACGGCTTCAAGCCTGGTTACCTTGCACTTGGGAATTTGGGTCCTGCACTAGTCAGCTTTCCATTGCTGTAACAAATCTCTGGGAGAACCCACTTGTGAGATGAGAAGGGTTATTTTGGCTCACACTGTGGGAGGTTTCAATGTTTGTGTTGCTTTTGGATCTGTGGCGAGGCAGCACATCCTGGCAGGAGCTTATAGCAAAACTGCTGACCTCAGGGCTGGGGAGCAAAAGAGAAAGAGACTGGGGTCCCACAATTCCACTGAAGATCACAATCCCAGTGACCTAAAGATCTGGGTCTTTAGGGCTCAGCTCTTAAAGCTTCCACTGCCTCCCAATACCATCAGACTGGGGATGGAGTCTTTACACATGGACCTTCGGGAGACATCTAAGGCCAAGTCTGTAACAGGTCCTTTAGGAAATCTGTGTCAGCCTTTCCTCCAGTCTTTTCCTTCCCATTGCCTGTGCTGCATCATTCCACTCAGTAGAACCTCCATAGAAATGCCCCTGGGAATGCAGAACTCCAAGCTCTTTAGCCCATCATTCTCACCATCCAAACATTCCCAGCTTACATCCCCATTCATCAGCTCTGACCTGTTTGCTTCCAGCCTCCTGAAACGCAGCTGCCCTTGGAGACTTCCAGACTGCACCGCTGTTTGGAGAGAGGCTGGCCAGGCCTCCCCTGGGCCCTCAGTGCGGAACCAGCATCACAGCCACCCTCAAGAGGCCAGAGGGACCCGGAGAGCCACATCCCACCAGGGCCACTGGGCTCCCCATGTGCTCGGTCTGAGTGAAATAAAGTCGGTTTCCTTGGCATCTTTTCTGCTCTCTACCCCTGACCATGCCACCTGGGATGCTGGAAGTTTGATGGGGTGCACTGGGGTAAGGGTCCCCAAGAATGGAATCAGCCTACACTGTCACACAGGGTGCACACTGCCCTCGTTCTCCTGTGTGTGTACATGGAATAGTAGCCTTCCTCTTCCTCGTCCTCTACCTCTTCACCTGGCCTCTTTAGCTGAAGTATGGCCTCCTCCAGGAAGTCTTCCTAGACCACCAAACTGAAATGGATGCTGATTCACCGTTTCCTTGAGTTCCTTACTCAGCTCTTTTGTGTTCCCCCGCCTGTGCATTTACATTGTGCGTGTATAAGTGTGTGTGAGCATGTAAGAAATGAATGAATGAATCCATGAATCAATGAACTAGTGAACAAATAAATGAACCCATGCATCCGAAGGTGTGGGCACACTGACTGATGTGTCTCCATAAATGTGTGTCCATATTAACATTTGAGGACCTGTGATCACCCACAGAGCCCCCCATATCTACCTCCTCATATACACAGCCCTACCACCTCCCCCCATAAACATACACAGGCACCAGAAACTATAGCCCAGCACACCTTCCAACTTATGGTGTAGAAATCTGTTTCTTCAAACACTCTTGAAGCATTCATAATAATAAAATGATCAACTGATATTTTTTGATCACAGTATGTGCTGGCGCTGTGCTAAGCATTTTACATGGTGTGAATCACTGCAGCTTTACAAAGTCCTGAAAGATAAATGCACTGATTTATTCCCTTTTTACAAAGGTGGAACTGGCATATTTATCCTAGATTTATTCAGGTAGCCACTGCTGCCTCTGTGTAAATTCCCACTAGACAGGCTCTATACCCTGCTCCTAATGTGCCTCCATCCCCGGGGCTGCTCTGGTGTGGCCAGTCACAGCCCCGCCTGGGGGAGGAATTCCTGTTTGGATCACAGGTGGGTTCACTTAGTAGGGCTGGGGTGACCAAGTACTAGAGAGTGGATGCCTAAAGCAGGACAAATGTGTTTCTTGCAGTTCTGGGCAGTGGTAAGAGTCCAAGTTCAAGATGTTGTCAGAGTTGGCTACTCCATAGGTGTCTGAGGACCTCTCTTTGGCCTCTAAGTTCTTTGGAGGTTAGAACTTCAGCATCCCCCCTCTCCATCTCTTCCTTCTTTGCCTTTGTCTTCATCTCTGTCAATTTGGTGTGGATTTAGACACTACCCAACCTATACCACTGATGAGAGCTCATGCCTGCAGAGAGGGCCCTGAACCCTGAACCCTCCCCAGAGGCTGTGGGTAGCATCAGGAAGGGGTGGAGGATGGGGCAGGAGGGAATTCACTGGGCCCCCGTCTGGAAGGTGTGGCTATTGTGCTGCCTCCCTGGTGGAGTGAGTTAGGGAGCAGAGGACTGTTCTCACTGGGGCCGGTACATTCTCCCCGAGATGAGATCACAGGCAGATACTGTCAGAGGATCAGCTACCACCTGCCTGCCATTCACAGGAGGACCTCTGGCTCACGAGGTAGGGCTGGGACACGTGGGGGTGGGTGGAGACATCAGGGCCTCTGTGGGGACTTTGAGGCCATGCTGTGGAGGAGGGAAGGCTCTATTGCAAAGCCCACGGCACCTGGGCATGGGGTCAGCACGGGATAAGACACGGGCTCAGATACCAGTCTTTCCTGAATTCCCTGTGGTGAAGTCTTGGCGCCTCAGAGAAGTCCCAATTGATGGAGTTAGCTTCTCCTGATGTCTCTCTCCTTAGCTTGCAGATGGTCACTACTTGCTGTGCCCTGACATGGCCCTTCCTCTGCGAGCACGCACCTCAGATGCCACTGTGGGTTTAGGGTTAGAGTTTCGTCATACACAGATTGGATAGGGCCTCAATTTAATCACTTCTTTAAAGGCCTTGTCCACAAATACAGTTGCGTTCTGTAGTACTAGGTGGTTAGGACTTCACCATAGTAATTTTAGAGAGCCCATAATATATGCCATGCAAGAGTAGGTGGTGGTTCTGTTTATTAATAATGGTAATTATGCATGTAGTGATTGAATAAGTTTGTCCTGAACTCCCAACTTTGTCCCTAAATAAAGGCCATTAAGGAAATTAGGAACAGACTCACACTGCCTTCCTGGCTTTGGCATTTCATCGAGACTTTTCTAGGCCTGGAACCTGTGAGTTTTCATGAGTTCTTCTCTGTACCATTTTGCTGAACTCCTACGTGTGTGCCAGGCCCCGTCCCCACACTAAGGACCTGGGGAGCAGGCAGAGCCGCCCTGCTCTCCTGTGAGACATGCCCTCGCTGGGGATACAGACGATAAACAAGGAACTAAATATACTGTCATAGAGAAGCAGTGCAAAGAAGAAAAATAAAGATGAAATTACCTTGTGAGTGCCCTGTTAAAAATTTATAGGACATTTATTTTACGAAATATATTTTTGTAAAGGAAGAAACCTGTCATTGTCCTCCAGTGATGGAAAATGATGCCTCCAGAGCCATTAAATTCAAGCGGGGGCTCAGTAGGAAACAGAAGTTTAGGAGATGCTCATGAAAGTCAGCTCACCGTCCCAGAAGATGGCAACCAGGTCCACGCCTCAAGTCCCCCTCCTGAGGCACAGCCCAAAGCAGAGGTCCTTCCTCAGCTGGCTCCTCTGCCCTGCAAGCTGCCTGCACAGTCCCACAGTCCGAAGCGTCACACAGGCAGCACGGTCAGCCCAGCACGTAGGTAGTGAGCACCAGCCAAGTCTTCATTGCCACCACTTCGGATATCAGGGACATCAGCATGGCTCAGCTCCTGGGGGACCACACTGAGTTCACTTCTTTCTGGATTTTTCTTTACTTGTTTATAAGATAGGTCTAGCCCCAGTATCAGCCTCCCCATATTCCTGTGAGCAATCAAATGTCTACGCAGCACTTGCCCAGCAATGCTTGGCCTGTATTCCACCCAATCATTGGTCAACAGTGGCAGCATTGCTCTCTGGGCTCAGAAATGCTGCTCCCTGAACCCCAAGTGTGGGACTTCAAGGTTCTCAAGAACAGAGCCAACCCTCACGGTTGACAGTGTGTGATGTGTTCTGCCATTTCCCTCCTTGCGTGTCTGTGTGCATGGCTTCCTCCTCCTTTGCACTTGGCCACATTCAGCTCAAGAGTGACCTCCTCCAGGTGTCTTCCTGAATACGCGGGACTGCAATCAGCGCTGTTCTCCATGCTGCCACACCCCATGCTTAGCTCTATTATAACCTCTGACTACTTAGTTTCCTACTGTGTGTGTGAGCGTTTAAGAAACTTCAAGGAGTGAGGCAGTGAACCAATGAACAAGTACAGGAACCAACACACTCTGAATGCGTGGGACACACAGGCATGGAAGCTTCCCCACACATGGGCCCTATTTTGTGGTGAAAGACTCCCCTCCTACAAAGGTGGATCTAGCGTCTGTGTGCCAGTTAAATCCTGCACAGCTGTGCCCTGCTATGAATTTCAGGCTGATATAAGCAAAACTGTTTCAAAGATGAAGGTGTTGGAGATCATGGATCCAGGTGGATTAAGTGGTCCCTCCAAATACTTCCTCTTGTTTTCACACCCTGAGGCAATTTTTTTTTTCCCTGAGGCAATTTTTAACAGAGTGTCAAGGTTTGAAACGAACTCTAAACCTGGAGGATGAGAAGAAGATCTGAAAGTAATTTTTCCAGGGGAGGAAACAGAGGTTCATAGGGGGAAAAGATTTGCCCAAGGCACTCAGCAACAGAGCTGAACTCAGAAGTCAATTAACATTTCTTCACTAAAACATGTATTGACTCTTCCACTACTCCATGTCTCTGGCAGGGGCTGTTGCAGGCATGTGTTGATGAAGATAAGGAAAATGAGCAAAGGCTCTACCTTCATGAAGCTTATGGTTTCCTGGAGGAGCCCGGTGCCACTGATGCTCTAGTAGTAGGCCACCTTAGTCCTATCCAGGAGCACTCTCCAGGCCAACCCAGACCAAGCCCTGTCCCAAGAGCCTGGCTCTCTGTGGAGGCTCTGTATTCTTTCTTAGTCCAGAGACCATCTGTCGGAAGAAGAGGAGCAGGAGACTTATGACAGGCAGGAAAGCAGATGCTGAAAGATGTCTCCTGGAAAGCTCAGGTTGTGATTAATGACCCGGCCGAGCTCCCGTCCCTGTCTGTGGAGGTCATGGGTCACCAGGCTGTGGCCCACTCTCCAGACCCTCTGCTTATTTACCTGTCAGCAAGGCAGCTAGTTTCAAAGCTTCGTGACAGGTGCTAGGCAACAACCCTGGTGACAAGGTGAGACAGTGACCCTGTCATCCTTTGTTAGGGACCACCAAAGCTTCTATTCCTTTCATGTCAGCGATGGGCCATACACTGTGCTCAGTGACATTCAAATATCCCTTCTAAGGGGCAGGAGTGGGCTTCCCTTACCCTGTCAATCACCCCATGCATTCTATTAACAGGAGGAGAAATAGAAAATGACTCAAAATTTGGCTTTGTAAATAGCTGTGTGTAGGCCCTGTGGCACTATTCTGGGCTCAGCAATCAAACTGTGCTGGTGACCCCACGCCTGCAGCTGGCAGAGTTCAGTGGAATGGCTTATTTAGCCCTCTTTCATCCCCCAGAAGCTAAGTTTAAGGTCATCCCAGCTTGCTATACAGGATAATAGGAGTCCCTTTGCAGGGGTGGAGGAGCTTTAGGATGGGGGCGGAAGTCTCTGCACTGAGCAGAAGCTCTTGTCCTTAGCTGGTCCCCAGTGTATGCTTGGAGGTGTCTGCATCAGCAAGCAGAAGGACAGAATCCCTCAAGGCGCAGTGGTCACGCTCCCTGGCAAAGTGCGTCCCTGGCTGGGCTGACTCTAGCCAATTAAACAACAGTTTTTCCTTGCTCAGTGGACAAAGAGAGAAGCTGCCAAGGGACCAGGAAGCAGATTAATGCCTTCTCCATATCAAATCCTGAAGCTCAGGGAGGAGGGAAAGCAACAAAAGGATCTAGGATTTGAACCTAGAGCTCTGCACCCAAACCCAGGCGTTCCTAGTAACAATACCATGGGCCAGGCTCGGCAAGGGGGACCAGGGATCCCCAACTGCTTGTCTGTGCCCTGTTAGTAACAGCCACACAGAAGCAAGAGGTGAGCGGCGGGTGAGTGGGGAGGGAGTGAGAAAAGCTTTTGCTGTATTTTTGGCAGCTTCCCATTCCTGTCATTATCACTTGAGCCCTGCCTCTTAGCAGGTGAGCAACAGCATTAGATTCTCAGAGGAGCACGTGTCCTACTGTGAACTGTGCATGGAAGAGGGATCTAGGTTTTACCTTTCTTATGAGAATCTCATACCCCAATGATCTGAGGTGCAGCTGAGGCTGTGATGTTAGCACTGGGGCATGTAATTATTGTTTATTACAAACATGTACAAATAAAAAAACGAAAAACCTATATCCACTTACTCTTGTCCTTGGAAAA